CCTGACTGTCCCCAGGCCAACCTCTCCTGCTGTCTTGCCTTCTCAGAACAGGCTTTGTTGACTGGAGGAAACAGTCAGTGATAACATGTACTTTTGGCTGGTGTCATTGCTCTTCTGTAGGGGACGAGAAGGAAGGTTTGGGAGAGGGACACTGCCCAGACCGTGTGTGTCAGCACCTACATCGGCCTCGTTTGCAGACGGACCAGCCCAGTGACAGGCGGCAGCCTGAGCCTACAGCCTGCGGAGGGTGGGAGCCCAGCCCCCACCTCTCCGGAGGGGCCATTTGCTCTCGCCTCTGGGTCACTTGCTTCTCTAGAGCCCTGCTGTGATCTACACAGATTCTTCTCAGAGACAGAAGATGATTTTTAAAACATTTGCTCAAAGAAACCATTTTACAGGGAAGCACTGAAGACAACAGATAATCCTGTTGTCGGGTGTTAAGGAGAGTTCTTCAGACCTGCAAATCGTTGCCACTTGAGTAAATGTGCGGTGTCAATCCTCTGTTGACACGTGGTGGTCACAGTCTGAGTGGTCGGTGTTCCCTCAGCTGAGGGCCCACTGCAGGTGTTTAACCGAGCACAGTTATCATAGTGGGTTTCAGAAGATTAACTGGGTATCGGAATAGGGGCAGAGACAGAGACCAGCCTTCAACCTAGGGCAGCTGGGGGCTGGGCAGACTGACGTTTGAGAGCCATCGTGAAGAGTCAGGGGAAGCGCTGGGAATGTCGTGTCTGAGGGGAAGAGAAAGAAAATTTCCCTTCAGGAAGAGGACAGCCTTTTGGACTGAGAACAGCTGAAGCCCCATCTCTGGGGCATTTGTCCGAAATCCCACTACTTAGGAAACTGGGAAGGGGTTTGAAAGTGTGCCGCAGAGGCCAGAAAGTCTAGGCAAAAACGCAGTCAGAGTCAGACAACAAGTAGATAAACATCAAATAAGGGCAGCCCATCAGTGGAGGAGCAGGTCCCCGAGCGCCGGAGGGACTTGGTCTTTTCCAGCCCTTTGTGAAGAGGGCTCATCGGGAGCAGAAAGGGGGTGCTCTTGTGAGTTTGAAGCTGGGAGGCAACGGCCATATGCGTGGAATGGAGGCAGGAAGCTGACGTTCTCTCCGCATTCCCTGGAGCCGACTGCATTGTGAAGACAGAGCTACTGAAAGAAGCGGCTCGCAGACACAAAGGCAGGGCAGGGCCAGCTCTCCAAGGCGGGGCAGCATTTAGCGAGCCACGGCCTTGAACATGTCCACAGGCGTGTGTGGGGAGGGGAGGCCTCGCTCAGTCCCCGAGGCCGCAGGAGCTCAGAGCGCAGTTGGACGTTTGCTGGGACGCTGTGTTTCTAATTGTGTCCAGGTAAAGAAGGGGGCACCTCGCGTTTTGCTCACTCTTTTGTCCAGAGTCCCCGGTAACTTTATTTATTTATTTATTTTTTATCCTCACCCGAGGACATTTTTCCATTTTTTGTTCAGATAGAGTGTGTGTGGGAGAGAGAGGAAGGGAGAGAGAGAGAGAAACATCGACGTGAAGGGACACATCGAGTGGCTGCCACCCGCACGGCCGACCAGGGCCGGGGACAAACTGCAACCGAGGTACGCGCCCTTAGCGGGAACCGAACCCGAGTCTCTCAGGACCGCAGGCCGACGCTCTAACCGCTGAGCCAAACTGGCCAGGGCCCCCCCGGTAACTTTAATGTCCTCCTCCAACTTGTTTTCATTTCTCTTGATATAGGTGCTAATCTGTGAGGGAAAAAAAATCGGCACTGATCCACAGTAAAATGAAATAATAATAATAACAATGACGTGGAGAATGTTTTCATCAAGTTGTACTTACTCCTGTGAAAGAACTGTCTCTCACCTTGAAGTTAGGTCCTGTCTATCTTTGATCTGTTTGCATGGTCTTTATGAAATGATGGAGGTAACAGGTGACCGTTTTTTATTGAAAACCCCGTGTGGGTCGCTGGTGTGTTTTCCTGGTGTGTAAAATCAGCAACTCCTTAACCGCCGCTCGCCCCTGGTCCTTCAATGCTGCGTCGTCAGCCTCGTTAAATCCTTGCTTTTTCCCTGACGACCTTCTCCAGCTCCCTGGTCTGCAGGGCGGGAGCCCGCCCAGGGCCTCCCTCTGCCGTGGAATGGACCCTTGGAGGACCCTGCACTTCGGTGGGGCTCGTCCACCTCACGGCCCTTTCATACTCGCTTCTCCACACTGTCACCTTGCTGCTGTCCTGGCCGGAATGCCACTGTGCCTTCCCTGCCTGTCTAAACCCTACGTCTATGGCAGGGCTCGGCTCAGGTCCCCAACCTTCCCTCACTGGTCCGGCGTGGTGACATCTCTTCCTGTGCTCTGGGCCCACAGGGCACTTGTTTTCGGTTGTTCGGTTTTCATATGTGTGACTTCTGTCCCCTCTCGACTCCTTATGCTCCTTGTGTCCGCGGTACCCTCGCCCTGTAAGCTTATTGAGAAGCTGTTAGGGGCTGGTCAGGCGGGCAGCAGCTCGGAGGGCCTCACGCCTGGCATCTGACCTGCCTTGTGCATAAACGTGAGCCCCGTTGGGCCTTAACTTAGACTCAGCGGCTCCTCGGAAGGCAAATTCTGAACTTCCAGGGCTAGACTGTGACGCCGGGCCACGAAGATCCCAGCTCACCCTGGTGTCGTTCTAACTGCACCGCCTGCAAAGGTGACTTGTTTTTTATTTCCCAAAAAGCCCAGGGCTGATACCCTAGGGTCTGAGCGCTCACATCCTGCTCTGTGCAGTGCGCTCGGCTTCCTGTGGTCGGGATGCCAGCCCAGCAGGACACGGGGCCTGTGGTGAGCCAGTGAAGGGCAGAGGCCACGGCTGGAGAAACGCTTTCTGCAGGAGAAAGGCACGTCCCTGCTTTAGAGTGAATGGAGGTGGGAAACGCACACCAGCCACAGGGCTGGAAGGGGGCAGGTGAGTGGCAGCAGCAGGAGCGAAGAGCGGAGTGTGCAGGTGCGTCGTCTACGGAAAGCTGGAGTTCTCACTGGAACGAGGCATGTGGCTTACACAGGCACACGAAGCTTCTAGGTACGGCCCAGACGTGAGATGCAGTCAGAACCTGACCGAGTCACTTAACCACATCACATTTTTATTTTCCATCTGTAGACGGCAGGGAAGGGAGACCTATCTTTTGCATAGAAACATTCAGAAGGATGTTAATGTCTTCACAACATAGTAACATTTTTCACATTATACTATGAGAGAGACAACGTGATACAAGAATTATATCCAAGCTAAGACGGAACTGTAGGCTGCTTTCATCAGTATCTGTGTACATAAACCTGGGCATGTTTGTTTCAAGAGCAGGGATTTTGTCAAGGAAGCAAGGACAGCAGTAAACCGCGCTGGGCTTCTTCCAGCGACGCCGTCATCTGCTCAGGGCCTTTGGGCTGGTTGGGCGGGGAGGAGTCTGCTTTCTTATTTCAGCTCTGCCTTTTATGGGCCCAAACAATGATCTCACTTAATGGTGCATTTTCTTTCTCTCCGTTTCTCCACCTCGCGCTGCTCTCTTCTGAGTGCCTGTCCCTGCCGCTGGCTGGGCAGGCGGCAAATGGTCAGGACACGTCAGTCAGACCCACCATCTGACTGATACTGTTCCCGCTGAATTAATGGGATCAACTAATCAGTGCGCCTGAGCAGACATCAGTGTTTGTCTTTCCTCCACCTTCCTTCCTGTCTCCACCGTGACTTGGCCTTTGCTGAATCCTCTCGGCCCCATGACCTAACATCTAGTTATTAACATTTTTCAAAGCTAATGTTTTACACTCGAAAAGCCTTCTATCCTTTTATAAGAAAATATCACGTAAGGACTTTTTCCTACCCCATACTTACACCTTTATTAAGATCCTTTCCACTTTTCCCCCTCGGTGACTTCTGTCTTTCACGGTTGAGACGGTTCTCTACTTCTGCATCTGGGCTTCCTTTAGGTAGCAGGACTCGGTCCGAGTCTCCAGTTCGCCTAGACCTTTTCTCCATGAAGCAGCCCTGGTATCAATCTGAAACCCAGTCTTAGGTATATTGTTGTCTCAAGGAAATGCCTAGTTTTCATCCACAGTTTGCATTTATTTTTCTTTCTTCAAACCACATTGTCATTTTTGAAACAATCGCTGGTGCTACCACAAATGGAAAAGTCACCAAAAAATCAATTATTTAGTGAAATGTTGTATCTATAATGCATATTTATGATTATGGGACAGCTTTTTAAAATGTATCTTAACATTTAAATTATAAGTTCCTCGTATAATATGTGCTAAGGAAAAAATAAGGGTACAATAAAAAAGCAAATAATCATTAAATGTCAGTAAATTCTACATCTCATTTCAGCACACATAATAAATGTCCATTCAAAGTACCTTCATTCCTATGATGTCAGTGTGGAAATGATGGATTCTCACTACTCCAACCAACATCTAAGTCCCAACTTACCATTATAAAATATGTCAACCACTAAGAAATAAGGAAGTCTTTAAAATACTTTATTTTATTAATTTGTTAAAGATGTCTCAAAATACTCAGAGTATGTTTAAATATGCAAATGCGTACGTGTATGTATACAATTTTGCACAGTTGTGTATATATATTCACAATGCACTGCCATAAAAAGCAAAGTTGCTAAAACTTTAAAAACTGATATAACAGCGAATTAAATCTACTTTGTGGAAAATATGGAGGAATACTAAGGAAGTTAATATCAGCAAACATGTTCCCTTTGAAACAGCAAATTAGATGTGCGGGCGGATTTTGGTCACACTTCAAAGACTAATGTGCTGAGATGGGGAGCTAGGCTGTTTACTCTCGCTCTCACCGGTGAGGTTTTTCTGTGTTAAACAGGCTTTGATTACTTCAAAGCATGTTTGAAGTCCTCAGCCTGCACAGCTCTTGCACAAAGACAAATACTCTTCCCAATTTGTGCAGCTAATGTTGCTGCACATTGCGTTTATAAGGAGAACCTACCGCTTCCTTTTTAACATGAAGCCACTGCCTTTGTATTTAGCTATGACAGCGAAGGTCGTCTGACAAACGTCACGTTTCCGACTGGAGTCGTCACGAACCTCCATGGCGACATGGACAGGGCTATCACCGTGGACCTTGAGTCATCCAGCCGAGAAGAAGATGTCAGCATCACGTCCAATTTGTCCTCAATTGATTCTTTCTACACCATGGTTCAAGGTAAACACGAAAGCATGATCTTAAACTGATCGTTTGCAAACAGCACTAGCACCCAAATAGAATGTGGCGATCTCATTTCCCAAGATGGACCAGAACAGGGGAGGTGAAAACATGAACCTCCAGAGACAGTGGTGAAATAGTCTAATGTCTCCTTGTAATGTCTACGTGTAACTATTATAGTTACATGATACATAAAATGTTAACCTGGAAATGGAGTCTTCTTCCATTTCCATTGCATAAAACACCTTCATCCCAACACTTCATGAGCATCATTAGACCCTTCCTGAGCCATCACCCAGTCTCCCCGAGCATGTCATCGTCACTGCTGGGAGAGTCCCATTGTTGGAGGCACAGCCGTTTCTGAATCTGTGTGATAGGGTATCTGAATGCACCTGGGATGCGGTCACTGGAAATGTGTCCCAGTTCCAAATACCCATCTAGGTGATATCTGGACACTGAGTTTCTTCACTATGGCACATGTGTCCAGTCTCTCCATGGTGAACCTCCTGCCATTTCCCTTTGGATGCAGTCCTGAAAAAGCCACTTTCCGATGGCCATTGCAATTAGGAGGTCACAGCTCTAAGATGAATTGCTAAATCTGAGTTAAACTTCTTTGACTCACTTTTTTTTTTACTAATTCTGTCAGGTAATCTCCACAACCATCTAGAATTAGTATTGCTTGAAATCATTTATTCTCCAAATAGCCGCATATTATGCAAACATTTTAAATGAAAGCAGTAGCCTATGATACGAAAGTGTTTTTTGTACCAAAAGTAAGATGTCTTTTTTTAACGTCAACATCAGGGGAAATACCACCTTATAATATGCTAGATATTACATCTTTTCAAAAGGTCTTCAATAAAAGATACGGGGATGAGGGAGAGGGTGATTCTTCCAGACATTGGAGGTAGCAGGCCAGCCACCAGAGGAGCGCACGTGGGTCTCTGCAAACATGTGCCGCTCTGTCCGTGGAGGCTGAGCTCTCATTTCGTCAGACAGATGAGGAAAAGTCCTCTAGTAAGGTGGAGGAGGACTGTAGGCTCCCCTAGGTTCCCCCACAGTCAGCCCAGCCTGCCACCGCGTGCAATACCCGAAATCAGAGCTGTTTTCCTCTTTTCTAAGGGGACGTCAGTGAGCGTTTTATTTCCGTATAAGTGGAACTCAGCCAACATTGTAGAAATGTGTGTCGCTTCTCCCGGCGTAACCGGCGGAGTGTCTAGTCCGCACCCCGAGTCCCTGTCCTCTGCTTCTGCTGCAGACCAGCTGAGAAACAGCTACCAGATCGGCTACGACGGCTCCCTGCGGATCCTCTCCGCCAGCGGGCTCGACTCCCACTACCAGACGGAGCCGCACGTCCTGGCGGGCACGGCCAACCCGACCGTGGCCAAGAGGAACATGACGCTTCCCGGGGACAACGGGCAGAACCTGGTGGAGTGGAGATTCCGAAAAGAGCAAGCCCAGGGAAGAGTCAACGTCTTCGGCCGAAAGCTGAGGGTAAGTGTGTGTCGGAGCGCGGGTGCCGGCCGCCAGGTGTGCGAGCTGGGGAGACACCGTCGTGTCGCGGACCTGGGCCCCCTGCTCCCCTCGCCGGTGCTGCGCTCGCCGGGCGCCCCCTTGCGGCAGGACTTACCGGCCGTCGGGCCATGAGCGCCTTCCTAACAGAAGCCGCTGAGAGAGAGAAGGGTTTTCTCAGGAGATCCAGGATTAAAAACAATTCTTCCGCCCTGGCCAGTTTGGCTCAGCGGTTAGAGGGTCGGCCTGCGGTCCGGAGAGACCCGGGTTCGGTTCCCGCTAAGGGCACGTACTTAGGTTGCAGTTTGTCCCCGGCCCTGGTTGGTCGTGCGGGTGGCAGCCACTCGATGTGTCCCTTCACATCGATGTTTCTCTCTCTCTCTCCTTTCCTCTCTCTCCCTCCCACTCTATCTCTACAAAAAATGGAAAAATACCCTCGGGTGAGGATAAAAAAAATAAAAAAATAAAAGTAAAAATAAAAACAATTCTTCCCTGGGAAGTTGTATGAAGCACAACCTCGAATAGCCTGAGGTCAGTTGATTCTTATTTTATTAATGTTATCTTTAAAGTCTTAGACTTTTCCTTTACCCTCTCAGGATGATGGCTTCCTGATGTGGGGATGATTGAGAATTGGCTTAAATGTTGGAAGTTTTCCAAATCATACAGATGTATATTGAAAGAGATGGGCGCCATTGGAAGGCAGATTGTTTCTTTGCATTCTCGGTATTTTTTTTTTTTAATCCTCACCCGAGGACATTTTTCTATTTTTTGCTCAGATAGAGTGGAAGGGAGAGAGGGGAAGAGAGAGAGAGAGAGAGAGAGAAAGAGAGAAACATCGACGCGAAAGGGACGCATCGAGTGGCTGCCACCTGCACGACCAACCAGGGCCGGGGACAAACTGCAACCGAGGTACATGCCCTTAGCGGGAACCGAACCTGGGTCTCTCCGGACTGCAGGCCGATGCTCTAACCGCTGAGCCAAACCGGCCAGGGCGCATTCTCGATATTTTTAAAGTACAGTTTGAGCACGTAGAAGAGTATCAACATCAGAACTGAACCTCTACCTCCTCACTATATTGATTCTTTTTAGGAGAAATGTAGTGATATGTCTGATTATGCTCATGTAATTGGTCTCTGCAAAATGTTCCCTGCATCACCTTGTTAGGTGTTCTTTTCCTCCATTTCACACTGTGAGCCAAATATATCTGGGAAGCAAGCTGTGATTTACAGCACCTATCTGGTCCTCAGTTGAAGACAACACAGAAGTACTAAAACACAGGTTACAGGAGCCCACCTTCAGACCGCCATAAACTGAACCTGAGCCGTTCTTTCATCAGTAAACAGATTTCAGTTTATCAGATAAATAGACAACTATTCCTAAAATTACTCTCCTGGCCATTAAACAAAAGTACATAAAATCAAAGAGTGGGAACAAAATACGGAGCATACTATTAATGTTCTTTTTTTCTGCACCAAAAATGGTTAAATTATTATAATAGTTCAACATTATTTACCTTGACAGATTTTCAGGATAAAAAACGAAACAAAAAACAGCTACTTACACACTGTCTGTATTTCCAAGAAATAGAAATGAAGTGAAAAAAAGAATCAATGGACCACATGCATACTGTCTGCAACTGACGGGTTATATTTGGATTCCGCTTCAGTTGCAAGGCAGGTGTTGGGGACTGAATACATGGTCTTCTGGAGCTAGAGCCATATGCTGTGCGAGCCAGGCACCCGAGCTCCGGGGCCCCTGGATTGGGGTCCTGGCAGGCAGGACCCTGGGGGGAGGGGGGGCGCTGGAGGGAGGTCAGTTCAGTGAGAGGAGTGAGGGAAAAAAGCATTAGGACACAGGAGGAGGTAGCGTGATGGGCAAGAACGCAGGCTCAGACTAGTTCCAGGTCACGTTTCTGCTGGAGTCTCGGGCTGTTGTCACAGTCGCTCCAGCTGCTGTCTGTTCTCCTGCTGACTCTGGGGCTCAGTAGCCGTCACAGTCCCTCTCTGCCTCCACCACTAGACTGCTTCTTCCCAGGACTTCTGCATCCACGGGCCATTGCAGGCTAGAAGCCAGTTCAAGGCTTTATCCTATTCGTCTTTGCGTAAAGCAGTTTGTATAATGCACACTCACTCACACACACATGCACATGCACACAAGCACGCACGGTCTCGCTCACAGGACTGACTTCATCAAAAGACTCAGACACTGCCCACATACGCCCTCCTCGTTCTGCACCCCAAAGACACAGCCCCGACCTGGAATTCAAGAACGGGGTTCTAGACCAGACTCTGCTTTTTACTGATGATAAACCTTCTGGAGAAATCATAACACCCACGAACCTCAGTCTCCTTATCTATATCATGGTCTAAGTAATATGTTATCTAGATACTGTGTTATGATAGAGGCATGATAGAGTTTTGTTGGCATAAATGGAACTTACTCTACCCTGCCTCTAGTGTATCTAAATGTTTCCCATTGTTATGGAATCAGGTGAGATGATGTGAAAGTACTTTGAAAACAAAAGGTCCAATTGCGTATTCCTAATCCTAACCCAGAGAATCCAAACCCTGGATGCAGACACTGGGCACGTAGACCTACGCAGCTGGGGACGGGAAGCTGTTCTGGCCACTGGTTAGGAAAACGCCACAGAAGGGTGGTACCTTCCCCAGAAACTCACCGCAGCATATGTTGCCCGCTATTCTTTGTGACAAGCTATGTGTAGTGTATCCCTTCTTTTTTTCATGACACTGCTTTTTTAGACGTTAAAATAAATTAGGAAGAGTAGAGGAAAAGAGGCAAAATCCAATCTTAAGTCGCTGGTTCTCCGTCTGATTCTAAACGAAGAAAACCCCTCGCTATGGGAAGAAGAGACCGGTGTTCACAGGCATGGTGGTAGCTCCCTTCTAAGTGGCAAAACCACATTGCGGCAGTGAGACCCGGGAGAGACACTGTCTAAAGTGGCCCCGCAGTGGCCCGGAGGGGAGATCTCAGCTGACGTGTGACTGCTCAGAGACAATGCCAAGATCGCGAGGGTGGCTTCCTACTTTCAAGATAAGATTGGATGTGCTGGCTCCGACTGCTCATTTCATTCCTCGGTGGATGCTGGGAGAGAAATTCCAAGGAGAAAGTGAAGCTAGGAAAACCCGGTCTCGGGACTGGACCTGGAGTGTGCCGAGAAAGGGAGGGAGAGAGGAGACAAGACTGAGGCCGCCAGGCACCTCCACCAGCCAGGCTGCCCGGCGCGTTCCGTCCTTTCCTGAAACGGAGAGTGTCTCCTCTGCCTTTCATCATTTCCTAGCAGAAAGTTCTTTTCATTTTTAAGTTACCAACCTCCATTTAGCTATGTGGCCGACACAGGGTGAACACTCAGATATCTATTCAATGAATGAAAGAATGAGGGAAAGCCAAGCGTACAATGTGGGCTATTTATTCCACTGCACCTAGAGCTTCCTAAGCGCAGGGGCCGTGTGCACGGCTCATCCTTGCAAGGGGTTGACCGCTGCAAACAAACCTAACATGGATATGAGATTGCAGAGATAAAATAGATAAAACACTAGATGTAGCAGTATCAAAGGTTTTTTTTTTAAAAAGCAAGGATTAGAAGAGGAAAAATTATGTAAGACACTAGCAACATGGAAGCATTTTCTGTGAAATATGCACTAAGAGAAATGGGGGTAGACGCGGCAGAAAATGAGCAAAGGAAACCCGACAGGGATGTGGGAAAGCAGAATGATTACACAGTCCCTTCGTTTACTCATTTGTAGCTAATTATTTTTTAAAGACACGTACATGCGTAATAGTTGCTGGTCTTTGTCATATAACGTTTAGTCAAGATTCCTACTTCCTGTCAGGGGTGGACTTTGGAACCAGCCTTTAATCAGTTACAAAAAAATGTATGGCACTCTAATAATAAAATTCATTTGCTAAACTTGCCCAGAATTCAGACACTTAGAGGGAGAAATTTCAGTCAATTCCTTTACAAAAAAATTCTCAAAATTTGCAAGCCAAAGTGTGTTTAAAGACATACATGCATCTGATGGCGTATGTAAACCTTACTGTTCCGGGCACGTTTGTGTGATGTCCTTTCTCACTTTAATCTGAGTGGCACGCCCACAGTGGGACTGTGCAGAGCCGTTGGCACTGGCGGACGTGTGGAGAGACACAGCAGTTGCCGCCCATCGATGTTCTCACGGAGACACGAGGGAGTCGAGACGCTGTCGCCCAGCGTGCTGGGTAACGAGCCGGCCCTTCCTCACTTCCCTCCCTGACGTTCCGGATACGTGACTGTAACCCAGTGGTGCTTTATGGCTTTCAGCGGACAGGCACCGTTTTAAGGTCTTCAGGCCTTAGTTTTGCAAGCGTTCCACGGGGTGCACACTGCCCCCCTCCCGTACCAAAGGTGCTGTGTGATTAATTACAGTCACGCTGGACATGGTCTTAGAAAGGGGGGGCTTTCCATGCTTCCTTGAAAGAAGTGTGTACAACACAAAGGAATCCGTGGCATCTCTTATCCAGACCCAGCATTTGGATTCACTTTCATGTAGCTGGAGGCCGAGTCGTGAAGTGATCCGATGTCAGGTTTTGTTTCATCTTAGGTGAACTATTCCATTTAACTTGATATTTTTATATTAAAATATTGATTAAAAGGCCGCTGGGGCAGGGGCGGGGGCTGCTGAGTTGTCCTCATGTCACAAAGGTGCAGTTAATCGGGACTGTGTCCTGGAATGGAAATGTCCCTTGACCTCCGTGCTTTGTTTACACCCCAGAACAGAAACTTTGGACGTTTGGGAGGAGTAGGGGGAAAAACAGAAGATTTGTTAGTATTTTTTGAAATCCTCCATGTTGAATCACAGTGGCTGGTGTCTGGAAAAGTCAGAAGAGTTCGGTGAAGCCTGGCCTGTGCTGGGAAGGAGGGCAAACACAGCCACGTTCAAGGCTGACCTCATTGCTTCAGTCTGCGGAGACAGGAAAGGCACTGCAAACGCTGTGTGCCTGGATGAAAGAAAAGTTAAACTTCTCTCCAGATGTTCGGTCTCACACGTGTTCGGGTGGCGGCTCACACGCCAGCCACAGAAAGGACTCCCTGGGTTGTCACCTGGATGCGCTCATGTGCGCCCACAGCCAGAGGCACAGCAGAGGCCCAGCGGCAGGTGCCAGCCCTGCAAGGAGGGTCCAGGGTCCGTTCCTCTGTCCTCACCCTCGGGAACCCTCGTGCCAGGTCTGCAGTCCACGTTTCTTACCCTCTCACCACAGGAGACGTCGCAGAGATGGAGGAGGCCCAGGAAGTCGGTAAAGGACTGAGATACAAATTAACGTGCACACAGAGTAAACCACGAGCAGATGGGCCGCCCGGGCAGCCCCGCCCATGGAAACCAAGCAGGGCAGTGTGCAGCCCGGGACAACCTGAGGAAGGGAAAAGGGCAAACCGAAACATTCGGGCTTTCCCCCTTCTTTTCCATCACCGTCTGAGCAGCACGAGAGCCCCGGGAAACCGTTTGAATTGTGCAAAACCTCTTCTTAAGGTATCGAAAATGTTGTGCACATATAAGCCGAAGAGCTGGCTCTTCCCACAGACTTGCAGATCTGTATTTGTAACAGCAGCTAGTAGCATCTTTCCAAGGCTCACCAGGCACTCTGCAAACCAGGTCGTCCAGGTTCCCCGAGTTCACATGGCAGGGAGCACGTGGGGGGAAATGGACGCTGGAAGCCTTCCGCCGGCGAGTCCGAAACTCCCCGGAATCACTGGAAGACGGAGCCAGAGGCAGTGGTGAGCTTGCGTTCACAGAGGGACAGACAGATCCAGAGGGTGAACAGCCCGAAGTCATGCTGCGTGCTTCTAGGCCCCACTGGGGGTGGAGGCTCCTGGTTCCTCCCCCCGTGCACGTGCGCACATACACCTGCACACACGTACACCCCACACCAGCACAGATCCATTCCTGCTGTGGTACGATGGTTTTGGGTTTTTTTCCCACTCCGCGTGGGTCTTAAATAATAGAACTAAAAAATTAGGATCTCCTAACTTCCATCCAGGGCTCTGCTTTCTGTTTCCTGTGAATTGTCTCTCTTCTCTCGGGGTGCTTCTTCTCCCCCAAATCGCTTGGCCTAGAAGGCACGAGTTCCGTGTTAGCTTTATCTTCACCTTCCCCTGGACTTCACGATACTCCCCTTGAACAGCTCATTGGAAAAGTTTAAGGAACCTTTTTTCATGGGACTTGTTTAATGTCAATGATAGACTGTGCAAATTACTTTTATCCCACATTTTACATAAATGTACCTGTATATTAAATATGTACATTCACATAGATTTACAAATATATGGGGCAAAAGTACGTTTACCATTCGTATGGAAACTAATACAAGAATAAACTCTGTTTCATGTACTCACAACTGTCAACCTACCGGTGCCCTGCCGTGCATGGGGGGGAGGGGGTCAGTGTGGGTAACCGATTGCTAATGCTGTCCATTTTGAAGATTCTAGCTAAACATGGGCATGTAAAATTAGGATTTCCCATTTAATGTTTAACAGTCCAAATAGTTAACCAGATTTGGTTACGCACAAGCCACACCACTGCACAGGAGACCAGAGAATGGAGGCCTGGCCTGGCTCTGGGGTCCCCAGGCTGCAAACACTGGCGGCCATTGTAAAGCAGGGCCCAGCCAAGGCCGCATTCCCGCCGCGGTGACGCACGCTGGCTTGTGTGTGCCTTGGAGCACAGACAGTAACAGCCGCTGTGGTCGGAGAGCCTGGCCGTGGCACACAGCCACAGAGACCCTGTCTCAGCAGCATGGTGCCAGGTTTGTAAATTAATCACCAGCGTCAGACCGTGCAGACGTGGCAGTGGAGGATCTGAAGTCCCTGCCAGTTAACCAGATGTGATCCAAGAAAAGGCATTCGAGAAAGTTGTGACATTTCAGCCTTTGGCCAAAAGCAATGATCGTGATTGTGACCTCCTGCTATTTCAACTCATTAATAATTTACAGTAATGTGGGTTCCAGCTTATACTTAACTGCTCTGCAAAGGGCTTCAGTCGCACTCACCACCATTCTCTTTAATACAGCCCTGATTAATCCATGATTTAACACATTCCAGTGCCGTCGGGGGAGGGACTTGGAGCAATTTGCAGAGATGTCATGTTTCCCACCTTCGTATCTTCTGAACAAACTTTAAAGCAAATACAGTTTGGTATTTTTCTTATCAGTTGCTCAAGTTTACAAAATTTAATTGAAAAGGTTTTGAACAAATGCCAGGCTGTCTTTCTGCTTAATGAAACCTTTTAAGAGAGCAGTTAATCTGCTGCCTTGCACTTGTACCCAAGAAGTTGCTAAATTAATTTACTGACAAAGAGAATCAATCACCATAAATGGTGTTTAAACAATAGTGGGGACTCTGAAGGGTAATAAGGGCTGGTACTGGACTAGCATGATTTATTTTATCATCTTGTTTGTGTCCTAACAGGTTAATGGCAGAAACCTCCTTTCAGTTGACTTTGATCGAACAACAAAGACAGAAAAGATCTATGACGACCACCGTAAATTTCTACTGAGGATCGCCTATGACACGTCAGGGCACCCAACCCTCTGGCTGCCGAGCAGCAAGCTGATGGCCGTCAACGTCACCTATTCATCCACAGGTCAAATTGCCAGCATCCAGCGAGGAACCACCAGCGAGAAAGTGGATTATGACGGACAGGGGAGGATTGTATCGCGGGTCTTTGCTGACGGTAAAACATGGAGTTACACGTACTTAGAAAAGGTACGTCTGCACGCTCACAGTACAAATCGGGGGAAGAGCAACACGTGACAGGGTCCCATTTATTCTCAGAATCAGTACGTCAGTCACATTCGTACCGCAGCGACGAATTTCTGCATTAGCCAAGCACTTTCTCCTTAGTTAAGTTCTACTGAGATCCTTTTAAGTGATTTATGCTGTAAACAAACAAGCAATAACACTGTCCACCTGCCAAGCCTGTGCATGGACAACATCCACAAAGTCGACCTTGGGCGTGTAAGTCATTTGTGAGTATCTCAGCACTGGGCTTTCATTCGGGAGAGAGCCAGGCGTCGGCGCGGTCAGAGCTGTCGGTCGGCGTCGCTGCCAGGGCTTGGGCATAACCCCAGCCAGCCAGCCCGCAGATCCTAGACGTGCATTATTAACCGAGGGAAACTACTTTTGAGAAAGCCGCACCTGCAGGTCCTCTGTGGCCTCTCTTCTTTCCTCCACCTGTAAAAAGGCAAGCGTCCTAGCTGAGGCGTGTCCCCGTTCTCCGGAACCACGAACAAATGAGCAGCACCGAAACAGACTTCACGTTCCACACGGGCGAAGTGCCCAGTCGGACGGTGCGCGGTTTGGGGTGGTGACTGGGGCCAAGAGCGACTGAAGGTAAAAGAAGATGAAGGAGAAGGAGAAGGGCCGTCTCCCTGTAATTCCTTCCTTAAGAAATAGGATCCACCAAAGAGCATAGCTATGGGAAGTTTTGTTTGCCCTAGAAAATGATTCAGTTTTAAGTTCTGTTACCATGACAGTAGCCTGAGTTACAAACTCGGCTCTCTGCTTACTGCCTCCACACGTACTTGCTTCTCACGGAATAACTTCTGCTGCCAAAAAATTCACATCCACGTCATTGCTGTGCGCACCTCACACTCTTCTTCACCAGAGGTGCCCTGCGCACCCTCAGCCTCAACTCACCCTGCACTGGAGCCGTCCCATCTAGTTCCGGGCTCCCTGAGAACCTGCTTCCGGTCCACGGCTCACGGTCAGATGCTGCCATCTTCAGGGAGCCCCCCAGCCCGGGGATGCTTCCCGCGAGGACCCTCCTTGCCAATCTGCAAACCCAGTCGTGTGCTCTCCTTAGAAGAGACTCACTCCTGAGACAATGGACTATGCCCGAGAGATGAGTTTCCCCCATACTAACCACTCTGCAGTCACTCACTCTATTGGTTATTTGTTGAGAGACCACAGAGAAAGCCCCCTACACATATACCTTCCTGGAAATGGATCCTGACACCCTTAAAATATGTCACCCTCTAACCTAACCAGCCCCAAGACAGCTTCTCCCTGGAGGAACTGGGAGAGGACCACTGCTTCATTCTGGAACACCGTCCCTGACATAAACACATTACAGAGAAGAGTACCAGGAACCTAAATGTCCAGATTCCCAAAAATTGATAATAGTGATCATAATGTGACTTAAAAAAAGGTTTAAGGTTGGCCAAGGGGCATGTCACTGATAATGACAGCAGCAGTAACTAAGGTCACCTTCACACACCAACGGGAGTCAGAAAGCCAACCAGTGCTCACTCACCATCTCTCCAAAACCCCAAAGTGCATCCAGACTACCTCCTTCCAGATAGGCAGAGACAGCCAAAACTCAATCATAGCAGAACAAGTAACATTTCACTAACTACCATCAGATGTGATTTTAAATGACTGTAAAACTACGTACTGATTCTTAGGAATTCAGCAACAGTCCAAGCCCCCTTGGAAGAATGCAACTGTAGGAACCACACTCAAGACATTGACGGACACAGCCTGTGTACAGAAGTCCCCTAAACCTGCCCACAGGGGTGGCTCTACAGAAGCCAAGTCACACAGACAGTAAGGGAAGAGGCAGAGGATGGTGGGCAAGGGAGTATTCATCTGTGTCATGGGCAAAGCAGAAGTCCAGGAGGGCTGCTGACCTAAGCGTCCTCCCGGTCCTTCCTTTGGTCCAAGGGGCTGTGAAGGAAGCTTCCCGAGGGAAGAACCGCCCATGCACTGTATAACTGTTGAGCTTCACTTACCCAGCCGACTCATGTTGGCCTAGTAAATCCATGTCTTTTGTCTTCCTGCAGTTACTTGCAAAGTAAGCAAAGCTAGTTTTCATTCCTACATGTATTCACTTCATAATTTAACACTAAAGCAGTGCATAGCCCAGAAACCATTTCTACGGCACCTGAGGCCCAGAGCAGACTTGGTACTCACAGAAGGAAATTTCTAAATGTAGGTTTCATTGCTGTTACAGATACCACACAAACAGCCCTGGCTGGTTTGGCTCAGTGGTTGGAGCATCGACCTGTGGACCAAAGAGTCACGGGTTCAGTTCCGGTCAAGGGCACATACCTCAGTTGCAGTTCAGTCCCTGGCCCTGGTTGGAGTCATGCGGGGGGCAACTAGTCAATGAGTTTCTCTTGCATCAATGTTTTTCTCTGTCTCTCCCTCCCACTCTATCTGAAGATAAACAGAAAAATATCCTCGGGTGAGGATTTAAAAAAAAAGAATAAATAATTTGCAAACAAAAAACCACATCTGGTTCCATATTCCTGTCAAGGGTGTTTATAGCTCTCACTCACCACATGGTTAATTTGGCAATGTTTGTTGACATTGGTTCTTTATGTATACATTATCCATTTTGGGCTGATTTTATATCTCTTCTTTGTAAAATAATATTTTGAATGTGTTGCTCCTCCCCCAAACCCACTGGAAATTAAAACATGATTTGAGTGGCTCTTGAATCAGATGAGGGTGAAAAGCCACCGTACTAAATAATTGCTCATTATGCATGGCACTGCACTTCCCAAATGCTGTCTTCTCTTTGAAGTGTCGTCTTGGGGGCAGCTCTGCCTGCCTGCACTGTGACGTGTCCAGCCCCACTGACAATCTGCGGCTTGGCTGGGGCCTGGAAAGCGATGGTACCGTCCTGACAAGGAGCACGTCATGAATCTTGAGCCACTAATTGCAGAGCCCCTCACAATGCAGCACCCAGGCAAATTAGGCAGGGAATCATTAACATGTAAGGTCAAAAATAACTCAATTAAAGTGAAAATCATGTCCTGGAGCCGAGTGTTTCCGCGTCTTCGTGGTCACTAAATCTGCCTTTGCTTCCCCGTTCACAAGTAAGGGGTAACTGTGTTCTCTCGTTGCAGTCCATGGTTCTCCTGCTCCACAGCCAGCGGCAGTACATCTTCGAGTACGACATGTGGGACCGGCTGTCCGCCATCACCATGCCCAGCGTGGCTCGCCACACCATGCAGACCATCCGATCCATTGGCTACTACCGCAACATATACAACCCCCCGGAAAGCAATGCCTCCGTCATCACAGACTACAATGAGGAAGGGCTGCTTCTGCAGACGGCTTTCCTGGGCACCAGTCGGAGGGTCTTGTTCAAGTACAGAAGGCAGACCAGGCTCTCAGAAATATTGTATGATAGCACAAGAGTCAGTTTTACCTACGATGAAACAGCAGGAGTCCTAAAAACAGTAAACCTCCAGAGCGACGGTTTTATTTGCACCATTAGGTATAGGCAGATTGGCCCCCTGATTGACAGACAGATTTTCCGCTTTAGTGAAGATGGGATGGTAAATGCGCGATTTGACTACAGCTATGACAACAGCTTTCGAGTGACCAGTATGCAGGGTGTCATCAATGAAACTCCACTGCCCATCGATCTCTATCAGTTTGATGACATTTCTGGCAAAGTCGAGCAGTTTGGGAAATTTGGAGTTATATATTATGATATTAACCAGATCATTTCTACAGCTGTAATGACGTATACGAAGCACTTTGATGCTCACGGGCGCATCAAGGAAATTCAGTATGAGATCTTCAGGTCACTCATGTACTGGATTACAATTCAATATGATAACATGGGTCGGGTAACCAAGAGAGAGATCAAAATAGGGCCTTTTGCCAACACGACCAAGTATGCTTATGAATATGACGTGGACGGACAGCTCCAAACGGTGTATCTAAATGAAAAGATCATGTGGCGTTACAACTACGATCTGAACGGAAACCTCCATCTGCTGAACCCAAGTAACAGTGCACGTCTGACACCTCTTCGCTATGACCTGCGAGACAGAATCACGCGGCTGGGTGACGTTCAGTATCGGCTGGATGAGGACGGTTTCCTGCGGCAGAGAGGCACAGAGATCTTTGAGTATAGCTCCAAGGGGCTTCTGACCCGAGTCTACAGCAAAGGCAGTGGCTGGACAGTGATCTACCGTTACGACGGCCTGGGGAGGCGTGTTTCCAGCAAGACCAGCCTGGGACAGCACCTGCAGTTTTTTTATGCTGACCTGACCTACCCCACTAGGATTACTCATGTCTACAACCATTCGAGTTCAGAAATCACCTCCCTCTATTACGATCTCCAGGGACATCTGTTTGCCATGGAAATCAGCAGTGGGGACGAGTTCTACATTGCATCAGACAACACAGGGACACCGCTGGCTGTGTTCAGCAGCAACGGGCTTATGCTAAAACAGATTCAGTATACCGCATACGGCGAGATCTACTTTGACTCCAATATTGACTTTCAATTGGTAATTGGATTTCATGGTGGTCTGTATGACCCACTCACAAAATTAATCCACTTTGGAGAAAGAGATTATGACATTTTGGCAGGACGATGGACAACACCTGACATAGAAATCTGGAGGAGAATTGGGAAGGACCCAGCTCCTTTTAACCTGTATATGTTCAGGAATAACAACCCTGCAAGCAAAATCCATGATGTGAAAGACTACATCACAGGTAAGCATAATTTTATTTCCTTTCCAAGGACTGAATTACTTTAATCCTTAGATTAGTACACAAAATTACTGGAGTTGTTTCCTTTCGCTTTACTCATGCAAAACCAAATGCCTAACCTTGAAAAAGTATTTAATTTCTCTGTGGAACCATAGAGAAACCAAAATTGGAAACTGAGACATAGTCTGTTACTTCCTGTTCTGCCTGCCAATGCCTAAGGCCACAGTCTTCTGAAATGACATGGCATCCCGTCACTTAAGGGAAGTTATATGGTGATGCGGAAAACATGCCAAACTTGGAGTCCCCAGATTGGAGGTCTAACCTCACCTCCTCTCCTACAAGTGATGTGGCTCTGTAGACAAGTCATGTTCATGCTGATGGAAAGGATCAGTGTGAAATACAACAGCGTGTGGCTCACCGTCTCACCCCGGGAGGTGTTGAACTCACTCTCCACCACCGTCACCTCAGGACAAGAAGGGAACAGTTTCTCCCGTCAGTTGCTTAGCCAGTGGGTCCTGTTTCTGTCCTCACTTCTGTCCTCTTATACGACTGTCCTCATTGCCCTGTGGTGCAGTTCTGGTACTACTAATAGACACGCTCATTGCCCTGTGGTGCAGTTCTGGTACTACTAATAGACACGCTAATTTTCCTGCCAATTTGGGGTAAGTTTCAGGATATAGATTTAAGATCTTTCCAAGTTTAGTGCATGATCCAATTTAAAACATCGGATCCCACTTCCGCCACCACGGAGCCACCAGGATGTGAAACAGAGACAAGGTCCCGGCAAGCACTACCCTAGTTCCCTTAGGTAGCTGACTTCTCAGCTCATCTTCTGCTCCAAGGATTCTGAATCCTTCGGCTTCCACCTTTCGTTCCTGAATTACACTGCCGCAGTTCAGGTTCCCTGCTTTATGTTTTTTGTTTGTTTGGTTCAGTTTCGTTTGGGGCTTTTCTGTTTTGTTTTGCTTATGTTAGATAGATGCTCCTTCAGGCTGTCTCTTTTCTTGCTCAGTATGAGGTGCACCGAGATGTCTGTTTTCTCAGTTCCCTGTTTGGCTCTTAAAATGCTGCCCCCTGTTCATTTCACATCTGCCTCTTGCTTTTCCAGACTTCCTGAAGCTTTTCATAGCTCTCTTCCATGTGAACCAGCTGAAAGTCCCTTCTCTCAGTATCCTAATTCATCAACACCCTTAGGGCATTGTCTCTCGGGGTTTTTCAGTACACATCTGCATTCAAGTCCTATTATTTTGGCAATGCTTTCCAATACTTCAGACCCTCTGATTTTCACTGTTACACGGACATTGTTCATAGTAGGAGAACCCTTGCCTCTAATACTCCACCAATCATAAGAATTTTCTCCAAACACAAGACAGTAGATGATAGATAGATAGATATCACTTTCTATCTTACATTATGAACTTGGGGTTTCTCTCTCCCCATCACAACTACCCCCCTTTTAAAAGAGGGGGGATACCACTGATTTTGGTGCCATATGATTCCTAGACAAAGCCTGGCAATGAGGTGAGCGTCTGTGCCCTAGAGACGGAAGCGGAAACAAGCGACTCTCCATCATTCTGACAAGCAGTTAACCACTGGTTATTTAAGAGGTGTTGACAGGGGCTGACTGAAGGGCGGGAAAGCCCACAGCTCCTGAATTCATGCTCTCCTAGCAACACGGACTGCAGGGAATGCCATAGCAGCATTTTCTGAAAAACATCAAAAGAGAGATGGAACAGCATAAAATATATTAGGTGAAATGCAATTTCAAATTTTCCAGCTATGTGCTTAATATATAAAATAATCTACACCCAACTGTACTCATAAAGCTGCAAGCCTGCTGAGTAGTTCTGTAACAGTATAACCTCCAGAACAGAATAAAAGCCTTATTCTGAGCTTAATGGCTTTTGGAGTCACATGGCAATATTTTAAAATACCATTTTAAAGGTTTCCAGGTTTTCTCCCCAAAAAGTTTGTTTCCACCTGTGCACAGTGAGTCTTTGAAGTCATAACTGATGGTAATCAGAAATTCTGTGCCCTTGGCCAGTTTGCCAGCGTTCAGCATTCACCTTTGATTAAGCATCTACTGTTGATTTTAATACTCTCAATACTTAGGGTCTTTATTCATCGAAAATGGGTTGTGGAACTCCACATATCCTTGGGCAGTCACTTTTGAAAGACAGTGACGCACAACTTCCATTTAAGACCGGCCTTTACTAACTACAAACAAATCCCATTTGTTTTCGGCGAGCACGGCCCTTTCCTGCCGCCGTGCATTGTGATCGCCTCGCTTCATCACTATTGCTAGCACAGGATGCAGCCTGGCACGCGTGACAGTCTACTGGGTCTGCCTAAGTGCATGTCTGTTTCTCTGCGTTTTATGTAGCCCTCGCCGTAGTTCTGCTATTGAGGTTATTGTCTTCACATCTGAGAATGGAGAGTGGGTTTTGAATTGTAGGATAAAGGCAAACATGTGCTCTTTTTCTGGTTATTATTTGTGAATTCGGGGTTTTCTTTAAGGTAAACATGTAAATTTATGAGAGCACCGAATAAACTCTAACACCGTTCCTTTGGAACGTGCTTCCCCTAGATGTTAACAGCTGGCTGGTGACATTTGGCTTCCACCTGCACAACGCTATCCCTGGATTCCCGGTTCCCAAGTTTGATCTAACCGAGCCTTCCTACGAACTCGTGAAGAGCCAGCAGTGGGATGACATCCCGGTAAGAAACAAAGAGCAAAACTATGAAAAGGTGACAAATGGCTTCCTTGTGTCTTGTTTACCCACATTTAATCAAACTACCCTTGTGAAAACTGTACCAAAGACAGTTTTTAATTTTTTCACTCTTTTCTTTCCGAAAAGGGTCAGCAAACCAGGGGCCGATGAAACAGGCTTAAATCTGTTTTTAGTGATGCTAATAAAAACACAGAAAGACATTATCAAAAGGTAATAAACTGCAGAAGCTCATTTTTTTAGTGCAAGGCTTCTACAGAGAACTCCAGGAAAGCACATTTATGACCCTTGGGACCTAAAGGCAAAGATACAATAAACAGGAGGGCAGGGGATCCATATTACATATTAGCAGCCCACAATGCCACAAAGTTCGCCTTTTTAAAAATGCTAACCGTGTTTCATGGGAAACTATTAAAAATGAAAATAAAATATAAGGCTCCCCCTACAACTAGGTGTTTATGGAATTTTCCTGAAAATAACAGATCAGGAAGCCTGTAATTGTTCTGAGAAAAAAAAAAAAAGAATGGAAAATTGCAGAGTCAAAGCTGCCATTTCAGAAAAGGGTACTTTTAATTCCTACCTAATTCAAAGATCAGAAAGGAATGCACAACCAAACACCAGAATTTCTAGCTTAAAGCCAGAATAATTAAAGATCAAGAAATTGGGTTGCCCCATAACGATAAGACGAGAGTGCAGAGTTTCTTAGAAAGATTAATTTCCCCCCTTGAGCAGTTTCCTATAATTTCAATGAATACAAAGTGAAAAGGCAGCACATATACAGTGTCAATACCTCTGTTTTCTGGTACGTGATTCATAACGTAAAAGTAATTCCTTTTTCAGATGTCATCTTTACATTTAAAAAAGCAAAACCCATCCGTTTCCAGGGCCCGGGAGCCATTTTAACATTTCTAATTGCAAATGTATCTTCACTGAGAACATGCCAGGAAGTCATGCTGAAGTTTCCCGATCATTTGAACAAGGACATCCTGATTGTGTGTCACTTTCCAACATGCCCGAAAACACTGAAGTCTTACTGCACAAATGGAATTGCCAACTTTTCCCCTAGGCAGCCTTTTAAATACGGTTCAGGGTCTCTGTCAAGAGATACGCACCATAAGGACAGCTCAGGGAATCACCAGCAAAGACGCTGGGGCCGCCCCAAATGTGGAAAACAAATGTTTCTTTCACTGCTGCAAATGAAACAGATGTTTCCATTTGGGAAACACTGGCCAGACAAACATCTGGTGGTATAGGAAATGGCTGAGTTAAGATGCCCCCAATTTAAATCATTTGCCAGTGTAGACCGTGCACTGTCCCTAAGTCTCCGAAAAAAATAAATGTTTTCTCAAAGTAATAAATGCTCATGTCCAGCTGTCTCACTGTGCACTCATCCCTGTACATTTCAGTTCTACAGCTTCACTGATGAAATTCAGCTGAAATTGTGTTCACCAAGAGAGGGTACACAGTTTACCTAAATTAAAGCACAGGAACTTCAAAGCCTATGACCTGGGATGCAGTGATCTGGCCCTGAACACCCCAGCCTTTCAAATCCTGCGTTTGCTGCTTTCTCCTCAGCCTCCCATGGAGAAAGCTGCTGGGATGAAGGACTTGATAAGCTGGGTGCCCCAAAAGGGTCGGACGCATGCAAAGGGCATCTAGAAACTGAAAGAAAAAAGCTAAAAATACGAGTATTTTGCCCACGTTAGAAGCTAAAAAGCTCTGAACTTACACGTGACGGAGTTACCTCTTTCTGCATTTCAAAATACATTTGGATCAGCTTGAGGGGTGGGCGTCTTGAGTGCATTCCGACACCCAGGGTTTTTTAAGCCTTTTCATCTCTAAAGAACCCATGGAGGTTTTAATGAATGCCTTGGAGCTCTCCACCAAATCCCTTCCCTCCCCCCCTTTTTTTTGTCAGGAGTGGGAGCGCCGCCAGGAAGCCGGGCTCCTGCCAACCAAGAGCTACAGCTGCTCTCTAAACCGCCCCCCGTTCTGTCTCCCTTTGCAGCCCATTTTTGGAGTCCAGCAACAAGTGGCGAGGCAGGCCAAGGCCTTCCTGTCCCTGGGGAAGATGGCAGAGGTGCAGGTGAGCCGGCGCAAAGGCGGCGGCGCGCAGTCGTGGCTGTGGTTCGCCACCGTCAAGTCGCTGATCGGCAAGGGCGTCATGCTGGCCGTCAGCCAGGGCCGCGTGCAGACCAACGTGCTCAACATCGCCAACGAGGACTGCATCAAGGTGGCGGCCGTGCTCAACAACGCCTTCTACCTGGAGAACCTGCACTTCACCATCGAGGGCAAGGACACGCACTACTTCATCAAGACCAGCACGCCCGAGAGCGACCTGGGCACGCTGCGGCTGACCAGCGGCCGCAAGGCCCTGGAGAACGGCATCAACGTGACCGTGTCGCAGTCCACGACGGTGGTCAACGGCAGGACGCGCAGGTTCGCCGACGTGGAGATGCAGTTCGGCGCGCTGGCGCTGCACGTGCGCTACGGCATGACGCTGGACGAGGAGAAGGCGCGCATCCTGGAGCAGGCGCGGCAGCGCGCGCTCGCCCGGGCCTGGGCGCGCGAGCAGCAGCGCGTGCGCGACGGCGAGGAGGGCGCGCGCCTCTGGACGGAGGGCGAGAAGCGGCAGCTGCTGAGCGCGGGCAAGGTGCAGGGCTACGACGGCTACTACGTGCTGTCGGTGGAGCAGTACCCCGAGCTGGCCGACAGCGCCAACAACATCCAGTTCCTGCGGCAGAGCGAGATCGGCAAGAGGTAACCCCGCCCCCGCGGGCCCGGACGCGGGCGGGGCGCCAGCCGCCAGCCGCAGCCCCTTTGCTCGGATTTCCCTGCAGCACAGTCCGACCGGGACTCTCCGACGCAGAAGAGCCTTCCGCCAGAATGATGCCGCTCTTAAACCCAGATCCACACACAAACACAAACAGACCCCTTTTCTGAATGACCTTAAAGGTGATCGGCTTTAAAGAATATGTTTACATATGCATATCGCTGCACTCAGTTGGACCGAAGGTATGAATCAAAGGAACAAATGACAAAAGAAAGGAAAAAAAAAAAAGGCCTAAACATTTTGCCCTGGGCCCCCTGTTCCTTTGAGGCACTGTATTTAGCGAGGGTAAAATGCATACAGTGTTTCCAAATATCACCGAGTTGTCGACCTTTGCTTACGAAGAAGTAGTCTCTGCATAGGATGTGATATATATCAATGTTAATTTCCAAATGTGGGGCGAGATTACAGCTTAGAGACAACCCACCTGCTTTCCCTGTGCCGCTTTGTAAAAGGACATGGGCACAATGACTTCTGCTCCGCGGGGATTTCATCATGCATTTTACAATGCTCTGGTGGTTTGCCTTGGGGAAAACACTGGCAAATACAGTCCTTGTCATTGATAAGCAAAGGAAACCCTGATTTTTTTGTAAATTATGTGAGACAAGTTGTTTATGGATTTTTATATGAATTACAATTTACTGTACATCAAATATTAGTCTCAGAGGAGTTAATTTATGTAAAGTGTTTAAAAAGTTTATACTTAAAAATAAAATGATAAAAACATGTGAACTGTGTGATTTTTTAAAAAGGATTGCACCTTTTGTTATCTGTTATAGCTGTACAGTATAAATTATTATATTGTAGAGATATAACGACTTATGCCTATAATGTCCAGAAGTGTTAATATTTTTGTATTAGGTTGAAAAATGTGCAGCTTTCTATCACTAGATGGATAGGACAGTGCAATCCTAAGTGGGTGGCGAACCAGAGAACGGCTCCTTTCTCTTCCTTCTCTCTCGGGCCAGTGTCCTCACCAATAACCTGAGAGGCACAGTAGAAAACTATGGCTGGTGAAATGTAACAGAAGATATGGGGAGGGAAAAAAGCAAAGAAACAGGCAGGAGGCGTTCCAGCTGCCCCCTCTGGGCCTAAACGTCAGTGGGGAGTTCATATACTTTAACCACAGGGTTTTTACTGTTCCTTGAAGCTCCATTTCATGATGGAGGCGAGAGACCACATCAGATGTGGAAACTGTGAGAAGGAAAGGGTCTGATGTGGTCGTGACCATAAACGTGTCTTAAGATCTAGGAAAGACAGCAGAAACCCAGCAATAGTGAGAGCACCAGATGCAGTAGGTCAGGGTCATTCTGTTAGTCTTGGGTTTGGACCCTGGGGTCACCAAGAGGGACACCAAAGGGAGACAGAAGCTCCTGTAAGCGCACAGGCCCCAGGCACCTGGGGAGCTGGTTTGAATGGCAGCCTCTGGCCTGTGGGGAAGCAGGGGCGGCAGATCCAGCTGGAAGGGAACTGACAGCGGTGCCCTCCTGCACGCGTGCACGTGGGTCCCAGCACAGCCGCCGCCTGCACCTCTGTGCCGGCTCGGCCGCTCTCGTGAACCTCTTTCGTGAGCACTAAATTCAGCCACAAAAATATTTTTAGAAAATATTTCTCAGTTCATTGAGCTATAGTACACACTGTTTTCCTCTATGTATAATGGTGATAAAATATAGCAAGTGAACATGTCGTAAATATAAAGGTTCAAGTGATGTATTGAAAATAATTTTCTAACTGCTTTGTATGTATCACATACTCTAAATTGCACAGTAGGCGTGTTTATTAAACAGACTGGCTGGGAAAGTTTCAAAATAGCTACTGAATTTACAGTATCAGTGCTATTACTGTCTTTGTGTATTTGGTAGAGCATACCGAAGTAATTAATCTTCTAATGAATGCTGATATTTTATTAGAATGAAAGCACAGATTAGCATTAATATTTTTTATCCTGGAAATCCTTTGGCAAGTATTATGAAGCCCAAATTTAGAAAACTATGAGATTTCAAACCACATAAACATGGCTCTGTTTTACGTTTTCTTTTTTAACTGTTAACTTAGGTGTTTGCAGTTCTGTTCGATGGAATTTCTGCAGAACTGTATTTAGCATGCTGTAAGTACTTTTGGTTGAAGTAGGCTCTGAGTCTAAATTCTCAGAAATGTTCCTGATGTATTGACCATGAGAAGCTTGTACCACATGACGGAAGTGAAATCGTAATCTTACCCTGTTCTCCACATGAACTGGTCCTTTACACTGGCCCCAGTAACTAACAGATTTACAGTATCTCCTGGTGCTTATTTTAGATGAAGTCAAATCAACCCAATTAGTGTCTTGTTAGTAGGTATAATGAGCCTTTTTCTTTCTAAAAAGACTCGTGATCTGGACATGCTTTTACAAGAAATAGTGACCTCGGGGAATATGTAAACAAAAGACCTTTTTCTAAGAGTTGGGGGTGTGGGGGACTGTATAATGAAAAGAATTAGCTTACAAAAAAAGAAATTGATATTCAAAGTATTTTAGGCAAAGCCAGTCAAAATGCTTTCATGATATTTTGAGATGTAAATTTTGTCTGATTTGTATTGTTCTTTTCATTTGCCTTCTTAACTTTCTATGTGACCTGAATTTTCCATAACTTGATGACTATAGATTGCATCTAGGCATTCCAATAAAAGCCAACCCAATGTGTGTGTGTGTTTATATATTTTTTAAAGTCCTGGGCTTCTGTGTGTTCACGTGGAGGATGCAAACGCATGCAGTTGTTGGGGTCGTGATTCATCTGCAGCCCAGTTGGTAACATCTTTTATTTTGTTTTTTATGTCTGCGTCCACCGGCCAGACTACCGTCTCAGCAGTGTGCACTTCACAGGGGACTGTCCCATGACCTACTTTAGAAAAACGCTAAATACATACCCACAAAGCCAAACAGGATCACTGTAAAGAAGAATAAAAATAAATAAATACTGCCCGAGAGCAGGCCTGTTCCTGTGATCCTGGCAATAAGTGCTTAATTAAAACCCTTGATTAGAACAATCAGCTGGGGCCTGATGGGCTCCCAGCCTCCTGGAGATGTCTAAATCAGGTAGAGACCGGCTGATTAGGGGGTGCTTGGCTCAGAGTTCCAGGGGGCCAGCCAGGGCTTTGCTTTTAGTCTGCAAAGGCTTCATCACACTCGCTTTGTGGCGACAACCTCAACTTGATAACATGTAGATGCAACAAGAATTGGGTCACTCTCCTTGGCAAACGGGTCTGTTTTTTTCTCTCTCTCTTCAAATTAGAGTGTAACACACTCAAACCAGGGAAATGCAGAAAAATGCACGCGGATTTCTCCTTTCATTTTCTACACTACCTTCCTTAAAGTAACGTCTGCACAAATGCGAAGAACACCACTGCGTCGCGTTGGATCGGTCGCTCGGTCGCCACCACGTGCTGTGGAAGCTGCGATCGTCTGATGGCGGCCACCGCACGTTCCCGAAGAGTTGCCGTGGGTTTAAGTGCCAGACCTGAACGAGTCCAGCACCAGCTGGTGCTCACCTCAGACCCACCCAGTCCCGAGCATTGCCAAGGATGCCGAGAGTCGACCTCTGATGCTGTGGGACCAGCCCACTCTGCTCTCTCTGCTCACCATCTTTTTTTCCTCCTTTCTCCTCGCGGCGCCCAAGCTGTTCCTCCCACAGGCTGAACAGCACGTCAGCGGAGGTGCTTTCGAGAAGGAGGACTCTGAAAGAGGAAGCCTGGGGGGCCCAGGCCACATCGTGTCTGTCTGAGCAGCGCTCGCAGCAGCTCACTTGCTGTAACACAGGAGGACCAGGTCCCCAGCGACCCAGAACTGACCCCAGCAGCCTCGGGTGCCATGGGAGCTCTTGGGGAGCCTCGGAGGGCAAAGTAGCTCTGCCCCCTTCCACACATTCCCAGGTCTGCCCTAGGCTCCTCAGAGGAGCCAGCTGATCCCAGCCCCGTCCGGGAAATGCAGCAAATGCTAGCAGCTGCAGCTGAAGGGCCTCAGGAAGTTCGGGTGAGCTGTCCAAATTCACAGAGGCGGCTCAAGCCAAGGTGAGCAGAGACTTCCTATCGGCAAGTACCTTCCACCACGTCACATGGTCTAGGAACACTTCCCAGGAAGGTCCTGGGGACACTCCGTCCCCACCCCCACTCCCTCGGAGCACCTGGTCTTTCCAAAGCTGCCATCATTTAGAATCACAACATGTGCCCGGCTGGTGTGGCTCAGGGGTTGAGCATCGACCCATGCACCAAGAGGTCACCAGTTCTATTCCCGCTCAGAGCACATGCCCAGGTTGTGGGCCTGATCCCCAGTGAGGGGCATGCAGAAGGGGGCCAATAGATGTTTCTATCTCTCTCTCCTTCTCCCTTCCTCTCTAAAATCAATAAAGAAAAAAATAATTAGAAAAAAAGAATCACAACATGCATTGTCCCCAACATAAAGATGCCACAGACCTATTAACAGGGTGGCTGTCTGGAGTTCCCTCTGCCTGCAGGTATTTCTAGCTCCTCGGCCCCGCCTCATCTTGGATAAGAAAGTCTGCCATGCAATGTTAACGACTCCCTAATTTCTGGAAAGACTTCTGAAGAAAGACCGTTGGTTTGCGTGTACACAGGTGTCAGGCTAGCCAGCTAGAGTCTCTAAATTATTCACCTGGCTTTGGGCATCTCACCAAACCAATGACAAAATGAAAGTCAACTATAAGGCAGTATTGCCCATTTCCACCCCAGGGTTTAGGCCGGAGATGCAAAGAGGTAATGACAAGCCATGGAGTTTCCCACCTTCTAATCGAAGCCACGTAATAAATGGGCCCTCCTGCCAGAATCCTCATTTGCTCTTCACCATCTCTGTAAGCAGTGGTCTCGATATCAGTTAATTACCAGTAACTTTTAGGAAAATTGAGTGACCCTTTTCATTACGGACAAACTTAAAATTCTGTCGTGGAGGGATGCAGGCTTCCAAGAGTCCTGTGCAGCAAGAGTTTACTATAAACTGACTCCAAGCCTAGAGGAACATTATTCAGCTTAGAGTGAATGGGTTCCACAAAGCAAATTTAATAAATCCTTCTGGGACCTACGCTGAGGGAAACTAAAATTGGAAGCACATTGTGACTTCTAGGGCAAGACAGTGGCTTGGTTTCAGTCTGGCCTCTGCTTACAGGGTGAGCTGTGAGCTGGGCCCTCGCCACAGGCACGCGGCCACGTGTCGGAAGGGAAGTCGCCCTTT